CCCTGTCTCCTTGGGGAGAGCTCTGTGTCTGAGCTGTGCCTGGTGGGCTGGGGCGGGGGCTAATTGGAAATGTCTGTGCACTCCCCAGGGCCCTATCATTGTTCCTTACATTAAATCTTTTTTTTTATTTTCAGTATGCAAAATTTTCCACCATCTGCTTTGCTTTGGCAGAATGTTTGCTGAAAATATCTCCCTTCCTCGCTAATTCCCATAATTTCTGGGGGCTTTGGGAGGCTCCAAGCCGAGCAGCCATAGCACACAAGTGCCTCCCAAGTACACAGGCTGCCAGCTGCCCATGTGCCAGGCGGGTGGGTGTCGTGTGGCCCAGAAGAGAGTGGGGCATCGGAGGTCTCTGTGCTGCTGGGCTGACCCTGAGTTTAGATCCCTGCCTGTGTGTCTGTCTGCCTGTTAGTTTTTGCTGGAAGACTGGTGAGATGCTTGAGGCACACAAAGAGATGGTGACCAAGTAGAGCCTAGGGACAGCCCCCCCCCCCATATCCCAGTGTGAGGCCAAAGAGTCCCCATCCCACTTGTCCCTTGGAACAGCCCTGGCAAGGTATCACCATAGGAGAGCAGCTGCCGCTTGTGTCCTTTGAGGCAGTCAAGGGAGACTCTCCAAGAGGGAAGACTCCCCACCCCACTTCAAGTACCAAAACTCAGTTTCCATGGTGACAGTCAAATTGCAAATCCAACAAAGAGCAAGTGGGGGGGGCAGGGAAACTGGCCCTGTCCCCAGAGAAGTGGGACTGCTTGGGGCTGGGCTGCCTGTCCACTGCTACAGTAAGTACAGGGCAAGCGGGGCAGCCCTTCTGGGCATGCTGGGGAAATCTCAGGGATACCAGGTCCTCCAGTAAGTGGTCCAGGCGCTCACACCATTGCAGGGAGACAGAGGAGCCCGGTGAATCCATGTGATGATTCTTTTTTCCCAAAGGCTGTCAGGGCCATCTTCTCTCTGGGGTTTTCCCATCTTCTGTTGGGGGAAAAAAAAATCAGACATGGGCAGAATACAAGCACTCCTCACCAAGCCATGCCAGATGCAGTCCTTAGAGAATGACAGAAGAGAAAAACAAAATCGGCCCTCAGACACTCAGAGTGTTTGGTGGAAGATGGAAGAGCAAGGGCCAGAAGATTTATGAGCCTAAAAGCTTTGTTAATAGACCTAGGAGATTTACGATCCCAGCTGCTGTGCAGGGGGAAGGTGGCAGTGGCAATCAAATGGCACATTAGCCAAGGTTTGGGTTTTACAGAGACGTCTTGGGGGCAGAAAGAAGAAATAGCTGCTTCCTAGGCCACCAGAGAACGCTGGGACTGTTCGGGTACAAGGTGTCTGCATGGGGCCTCGGCCTCCCTTGGCTCTGTCTTCTCTGTGTCTCTTTCCCCATGGCAGTAAAGGCACTGGCTGACACAGGCGACATCTTCTGGTTTGTTTCCTTCAAGTGGGGTTGATGAGGGTAGATTAGAGTGGGGAGTTGGGTCTCCACACTGAGAGCTGGGCCCCGTCGAAATCCCCATGTAATGAGCAGAGATGGCCAGGCCGGGGGACAGTGCATCTGACAGAAACGGGCCTCTAGTCAGCCGGCTGCTCTGTGACAGTGTTATGATCTCGTTTGTCATCTGCCCCCGTTGCTGTGGCTGAGTCCTCTGGGGTCTGCAACAGGAGTCCGAGAACAAGTCAGCACGTGGCAACTCGAGGAAGTCTCCTGTTGGTTGGTTTGTTTTGTAACTTTGTGCAATGTGGACACCCCACGGCAGCTTGGCACCTTTGCCCCACTTCCAGCGTGATCATTTTGAACCATGTCCACACCTCACAACAAACGCTGTGTAGTGTGGCACTGTATCTCAGAACTTTACTGCTCCCAGCCCGCCTCTGTGGGCTTGTCTGGTAGATGTCCGAATAGGTGGACGTGGAGAAAAGGGGAAATGAGCTCGTCTCCAGAGGCTGAATGCTGGGACGTCCTGTTTCACTGTGCTGCTGAGCCCTGTGGCCTTTTCCCCTTCATACCAGGCACCCCTTGACTCCCCAGAGCCCCATGACCACCCCAGCCCCTAACGGCTTCCATCCTGCATGTCAGCCTCAGGGGAGATGGAAGCTTCCAGGTCAGAAAGCCTGAGTAGATCATGCTTGAGCATCTCGGCCAGAAAGATGGGAGACAGATGTGGGGGTCAGCCACCGCATCTCCACAGGGACTGACCACTGCCGCACCGAGCTGCCCTGCCCTGCTGCCTGGAGTGTGGGCCACAGTCCTCCTGATGCCTCTGCGTTTATCCCAAGGATTCGGGGAGCTGCTCTTTCCAGGTGTCTGCCAGCCATCTCTGCCTGCTGCCCACTCCTCCTACCCCCGCTTTGTCTGGGCACCCACGGGGTTGGTGTTTAGTCAGGGAATGAGTCAAAATTACGTAAATGCTTATGACACTTGACGCCTAAGGGGTCTGGTCTTGGTGGATTCAAGCTAAGAGCTGCTCAGTCTGGGACCTGCAAAGCAAAAAATGCCATCTGGTTTCTCACATCCTGTGGAGGGCCAGGGGGACCACAACCTCTCCTCGTGGCCACCCCCTCTTGGCTCTGTATCACAAAGCCCAAAATGCCAAAGCAGAAGTCTTCCTGGTGGGCAGGGGAAGGAAGGAACCAGAGAACGAGAGAGCACAGCCCTTGAGCAGATGGGAGAAGGAGAAGCCAGGAACAGTCTCCCAGTGGTCATCTGTCCCCATGTCCAGGGAAAGGAGATCCACGCTGGCCTCCTTGGTGGGAAGGAGCTGGGGCTTGGTTCTGTAGGTGAGGGTGTCTTTTAAAGAGGGTGGGGCCAGTGGTTGTGTTTGGCTGAAGCATCCTGGGCTGGGTAGAGGGAGAACTGACCAGGAAGCACCTACAGGTGCCAGGCAGGGGGCCCATTGTCACCGTGCCCCTGCTGGAGCAGGTTACGCCCTTGAGGTCAGTGGTGACAGTGAAGAGGCAATGGATTCAAGGCCCATCTGGGTGATGAAATTGGTAGGAGATAAGTGCACATCAGCGGCCCCCAAGAAGCACCCACACTGGACCAGGTACTCTGCGTGGATGCCAGGGCTGCAGAGCTCTCAGCGCCAGCCCCTGGCTGCTTGCTGCTGTGGCCTGTGACTCCCTGAGCTGCAGGTCCACATAGGCTGGGCTCTAGGTCCAGATGGAAGCTGCCATTTCGCCGTCTTGTACCCACCTCGGGGTTCCCTAATTGGCCAGATGTTTCCCCCACTAAGCTTTGATGTGATCTCAGAATGCTCTGCACACTGCTGCAGAGAGGACTTGGCAGATCAAATGAAACCTGTTAGCCACCCTACGCATAGATCAGTTCTGTTTCCAATCTTCTCTTCCACCAATGGGAACCCACAGCTCAAAGGGGTAGAGAGGATTAAGACCCACACACTAAGCGCCTGGCACAGTGCCTACTTCTAGAATTCAACCCACTCTACCCTCTGTGACCAGCCTTTCACATTTCAAAGTAAAGCAAGACAGAGGCCTGCTTTACAGAGGGGCTGCTGCCCCGCCTCTGAGTTGGTCACCCGTGAGAGAGGTCTGCCTTTATTTTTGCAGTACTAGGGATGGAACCCAAGACCTCATTCATGCTAGGGAAGGGCTTAATCACCAAGTGACACCCCATCTCTCTTTTTTTTCTTCTTTTTTGTCCCCTTCCCTTTTAATTTTATTTTGAGACAGTCTCATCCAGGCTGGCCTTAAACTTGTATCCTCTGCCTCCGTCTCCTGAGTAGCTGGGATTACAGACCTGGGCTGCTAAGCTTGGCAGAGAACTGACTGCCTTTAATCCCACATGCTTCTATGCAACTATGCTTGCTATTATCCTTATATTAGTTAAATGTTATATAAGTTGCTGAAAAGAGTCAGAAAAGAGACCAAAGCTGTTTCATTAAAAGCAAGATATTGTAAAGTCTTGATACAGGCCTCTTGTTTAAAAAAAAAAAAAATCAGTTGAATTAGATGTGGGCAGGACAGCTGCAAAAACCAGGAAAAAATGGGAGAATATTATAGAAGAATTCTGCAGTCAGATTGCTATGCAAGTTCTCTAAACTGCTGTTCAAATTTGAAGAAGCTAAAACCCGAGGCCTAGACCCCTCAGTATGGAGACGGTTTATACACGAGAGCCCGTGTGGGCCCAGTCTCAAAGCAGCCGAAGCCTGCTGCAAAAGGTTGGCAAATGAATGTACATTTCTATGTTTAAAATTAAAATAGAACGTTTCAAGGATGAATATATCCTGTATTATGACACCCACTGCTGATGAACCAGCCAAATACGGTCTCACTGAGTGCAGGAAAGAGAGAGAATGTTCGCCGAGAGAGCCCTTCCCCTGCCCTCACACTCCCCGGGACCCCAGCCCCATCTGGTGCCTGCGGTGTTCTCAAGACCCCACTGTGAGTCGCTGGGTGATCAGGCTGACAGCCTGAGTCTGCAGCCTCCCAGGTCAGGTCTTCCAGTAGAGCAAGCATGGTCACAAGCGTAGACCCCAGAACCAGCCTGCCCAGTTCAGGGTCCCAGCCCTCCCACTTACTACCAAGGACCTCAGTTTCCTCACCTGTGAAATAGGACTGCAACACTTCCCATCTCACAGGATTGTTTTGAAGTTTCCATGGATTCTCGTAAAGTACTGAAAGGCTGCCTCAGTGTAGGCCATTGCCTTCTGCCTTTATGCCTTATGCTCCGAGGTGAAGGCCTCAGAGCTGCTATGTCTGCACAAAAAGTGGTCATAAGGTTCCGCCAGGCCAGAGAGATCCAACTGTGCCACAGAGACAGTGACACATGGAGATGGCTGGCCAAACGTGAACCCTCCTGCTGGTGCTGGGCATGCGGGGCCCACATGCCAGCCTCCTCACAGTAGGCCTGTCCTCTGACTGTAGAAAGAAGCACCCTGGGCTCTTGTTTCTTGTGCCCAAAGCAAAAGGGCTGGAGGACAGATCCTACCCACACCCACGCAGTGAGGGCTGGAGAAGGTGACCTCCTCTCCCCTGTCTTTTCCAGTGGTTTCCAGCGACAGTGACAGTGACTCGGATCTCAGCTCTTCCAGCCTGGAAGACAGATTCCTGCCCACTGGGATCAGGACCAAGAAAGGCAGCAAGCCTGGAGGGGAGTCGGGTAAGCCTAGAAACTGACACTGCTGCTTCCCCAGCCCTGGGAGCAGAGTGGCTTTGCTAGCAGGGACCCCTGGCTCCTCCCAAGGTCTCCTGTGCATTCTCCAGCTGAAATTTCACCTCCTGAGCAGTAAAGGCCGGAAAAATAGGCACAAACTTCCCTGAACCAGCCCCACCATGGGCCCCCGGAGTGTGCCATCACCTCCAGGTGGCACTTCCTCCTCTGCAGCACAGGAAAGATGGAACAAGTGGTCTCTGAAGTTCTTTCTGGCTTTGACATCGCTGAGCTCAGCTCTGGGGAAAGGAAGAACATTTTCCTTCTCTTCAAACACGTTAAGGGCCTTCCAGGAAAAGGACTGGCTTTTTTCAGTTACTCCCAGGTTAGAACCAGAATCTTTGAGAGAGGTTTCAGGAAAACTGACATGGGTGCATGATTAAAAAAAATAAATTCCTAATGACTACCCCAAACTGGGATAGACGCCTTGGGGTGCTGAGCCAGGGCTGACACCAGGTGATGTCCTGGCAGAGCTGTCCTAGCATGGAGGGATTCCTGTGGGAATGGACATTTGGGCCTGATCAGAGATGGGGAACACCCAACCTGTAGGCTGCTCCTCCCCAGCTGTGCTCCTGGCAGACATCACTTGTTGATCACGATACTCTTTCCCGCTGAGCTATGATTTGACCTCAGAGTCCCCTCATTGCAGTTATCCAATAGTCTTTCTCAGTTGGCAGAAGTGATGTAAAAGATAAAAGCTGTCCCTTGACCAGGCCAACAGTGCTACCTTAGAGAAGTAAAGGTTTCCAGAGCAGCTTTCTCGAGCGCCTTCTTCCCTATCATGACATTTCTGGTTCCCTCCCTTCACATCAGCTCATAGCAGTGACCAAACAGGACCCAGAGATGGGGAAGAAATGGGTGAAATGTTACAGGCGCTGCATTTACTCTGAGCCAGGCAAGGACTAAACCACGTTCCTGTCGGGGTTCTTCAGTGAGTAAAGATGGTAATATCATCCTGGCGGTCTCAGGTTTCCTTAACTGAAACATAAGCCCTTCCCCATACCCTTATTCTATGAAAGCAGGAAAAACTAATAATTTGCAGAGGTTTTTGGAGGTGACTCGTTATTTGGTGAAATGGCTTTAGGGCCCATTTTGATGCTTTGGAATCTCAGGCCAATCAGTAAAGTGGGGGTCCTGCCTGAACGTGACAGCTTTGTTCTAGGGGCAGATTCCAGAGGTGAGGCTGCCAAAAATCACCCACCGACACCGCCATAATTCCAAAGGGAAAGCTTTTAACCATCTGCTTGTTGTGCTGAGCTCAGCCCTGTCACCATTTGGATCTGGAGAGCCCAGTACGTAACAATTCAGACACACATGGGGTCTCCTACAGGTGGCAGCATGGAGTCTCCCAGAATGGGGCTCACTCATCCACCCAGCCACCTCTCCGGAAGCCAGAGCAGCCTGGCCAGCGAGACTGGAGCAGGAGGCTCTGCAGACCCTCAGGGGGGCACCCCGCCCCAGCCTGAGCCCAAGGGCCCTGGTGAGTACCACACTGTATCCTTAAGCCCACCACCATCTCCCTCTCTTCCGCTTCTCTGAGCGATCCTCACTCCCTCCTCCCAGACTGCGGGGTGGTAGGTGACATTTTCAGTTCTCTGCATTTACTGAGTGCAGTGCTGGAACAAAGGTCAGCCAGGCTCTGGCCAGCCAGCACTGACCCAAGGGACCCAATGATAATGATACTGTCTGTGTCCGCTCTCGGTAGCTGTAATGGTGGCGATCACTGTCCTGTGCTCCATGAAGTGTTGTCAGTGCCTTGTCCCTTCTCCTTGTCCATGGTAGAAACTCCTGCTTTGTGAACACCTGCTATGTGCCAGGCAGTGCAGGTGCCAGCCTGGGCCAGGATCAGGAGCAGCAGGGTCCATCCTTGCCCTCCAGAGGCCTGCCCCAGCGTGAGGAAGCTCAATCAGCCCACCCCATCCAGGGCCCTCCCAGCTGGCACTGGCCCAGATCCTAGGAGGGAGATTCTGGGAACGCTGGACCCAGCCTGTCTTGGTACCTCTAGGGCCACCTCTAGGGTCAACTACTCTGCCAACAGGATGTCCCCATTAGATAGCTATGGAAATCAAGGGGCAATGCCAAGAGTCCAAGGCCCTGCTCATCCGCTGTCTCCAGCCCTGGCTAGCCCAGCATCATCATGCAGTGGCAGGGTTGGGGGCTGTCATACTCAAGCCAGAGAGAATCACACATGCGGGACAGACCCCAGCCCCTCAAGGAGGAGGCCCCAGCTAGGCTGGACCTGTCCCAGCCAAAGATGCAGGGCCACTGTGAATCAGGGCAGCAGCCCAGCTGCTGGTAGGGGAGTGTCCCTCCCCGTGTACCCCCTGCAGCACCCACCAGGAGTGCCCCCATTTCCTCTGTCTCCCTGCCCCCCTGCCACTGCCTGATGATTCCCCAGAAAGCACAGGCATTTGGGAGGGAGCAGCAGAGGACTGGTCTCTAGGAAGTGGGAAGCATCTCTGGCCATGGAGTGGACCCTGTGTCCTGCTTCTAGCCCTCTTAAGTCCTCCAAAGAGGGCAGTTTGGAGTGAAGCTAGCCCTGGCCCAGCCACCCATAGCTGTGTGAATTGGGCAAACTATAGTGGTGAGCATGTGAACTGCAGTTTCGTAGGTCAAAAATGGGCCAGATCAGCAGTGCTGTCTGCACGAAGTTCTGTTACCACTGAAAGGTCCCCGTGGGGCTGTGGGAGGGTGAAACCAGTGTCCCCGCACACTGCCTGCCCTGAGGGAAATTGCAGAATACCGAGGAGGACTCCGAGCCCTAAGAAGCAGCGTGGAGAGGACCAGCCCACGGCCAGCTCTGTATTCCTGTGCCCCTTGCTCCATCAGCATCCTGAGGTCACCATGCTGAGGACTCTGGGCTTTGACAGGCCAGCTGAAGCACAGAGGGACAGGTGTCACATCTGCAGGCACACACGCAGCTGAGCGGTGCTGACCCCGAGCGCAGGCTCCCCTGCCTGTCTCCCCTGCCCTGCTTCCTTCCCACAGGGCAGCGGCTGCAGGGGCAGGGACTGTGTGGGGAGGGACCCCACCTCTGCTCACCTGCGGTGACCTTTTTCCTCTCTCCTCCAAAGGCAAAAGACACACCTGGGGGACTCCCCGCTGCTGATGGGTGCCAGCTTGGAGCATGGAGCCAGCTTTTGGACGGGAGGCTGAAAGCAGGAAAAAGCTGTGGCCAGGCATCCTGGACCCTCCCCGACCTGTGCTCATCGCATCAGTGTTTGGGGGCCGAATCCAGTGCCCCCACCTAGTGCCTTTCTGCACCCTTCCATGGGAGCCCTCCTCGTCCACCATTCCCCCCTCCCAGGCTGTTGTCTTTATTTATTGTCTCCCCTGTGTTTTGGTGGGTCTTGGGTTGGGCTAGAAGGCTTTGGGGCCCCTCTCATGGGGCCTCCCACATGCACTGAAGTTCTGGTAGGGACACTGCGTGGGCCCTCTCTGTGTCTGTGTTAACAGCAAGAGCTGTAACCCTGGCGTACCCCTCAAAGCCGAGCATGGCCCCTCCAGTGAGTGAGGAAGCCGGGGCAGGTGGATGAGGGGTAAGCACATCCTCCCCGTCCCTCAGCTCCCCGGCAGGCAGGAGCAGCATCCACCTTCCCCGGGCACTGGCTCCTTGTTTGGTTTCTTTGAATCCTTCTGGGTTTCCACGCAGCCAGAGCACCTGGCTCCGGAAGACATGAACTCACGTCTCTTCAGTAGGTTAGGGGGCAGAAGTGCCTGCTTGCCAAGTGCTGAGTTCAATTCCCAGTTCCCAAAAACAAACAGCAAAAAATGCAACCAAATGCTCCTGGAAACGTTCCCTGAAGCGAGAGCATTTGTGTGTACAGTGTCCTCACACTCCTGTCCTTCCTGTCCCCCTGCACGGGAGGGGACCAGGTTCTCCAGGGGCCTTCTCTGCTCCAAACTGGTAGCTTTCTGCTCTTGCCACGTTTCTCTGGGACATGCTGTACTTCAGAATTAAAACAATAAAGATTAGAATTTGCATTGAACTAGTGTGCTGTTCAAAAGACCACAATGGCCGGGTTTCTGAGATTTCAGCAGAGGAAGAATGGATGGGGAAATGTGGCACCACTGATTTGCTGGAAGGCTTCCTATGCATTGGTAAAAGAATGAGCTACATCTGTGTGTCCTGAAGGAGCTCGAAAACCTAATGTGGAGAGGGAAAAACAAGCCTCCCTATGTAAAGAGTCATCAGAGTGAGGCATACAGACTTACACATATGTAAAGGTGTTTTTCAAGTGGGTTGAACCTTCTGGTTACTCATGATAGACTGAGCACATTCATAAATTCTTCTGTCCCCCAACCCCACTGAAATGACATAAAGAAATGAAAATGGCATAAGCCACAAAGACCAAAGGAACAGGAGAGAAGATGGCAACGAGTGAGAGGCTTGTGAAAAACTTTGGGAGACTCTGGTCAGTGTCAGCTTCCCCCAGTCCCAAAATGTCTACAAGGGAGGAGCAAGCCCCCGCTCTGCAGAGTTCCCTCCATGCTCAGGCTTGAGAGGAGCAGGGGGCCCTGTGGTGGAAGCTCAGCGTGGGTCTGAAGATACTCCTGGTTGAAAGAAGTGTTTGGAGGCGGAAGTTGGAGATGTAGCTCAGTAGGACGGCACTCTCCTAGTGTGTGTGAGCCCCTGGGTTTCATCCCAGCGCTGCACAGCAAAAACAGTCAGTACTTCAGGTCCCAGTCATAGTCCAGTGCCTGGCAGCTGCCCTGCCCTAACCTAGTGGCAGACAGGGCTGCCCTGTGGGCCTCCAGGGAATGACAAAGATTACGTTGGGTGAAGAAGCCCAAGCCTAGCTGGACATGGTGGTGCCTGCCTGTGATCCCAGAACTTGAGAGGCTGAGGCAGGAGGATTGTTTCAAATTGGAGACCAGCCTGGGCTACAAAATGAGCTTAAGGCTAGTCTGAACTGCATAGTGAGGCCCTGCCTCAAAAAGACGAAAACAAAACAAAACCAACCCCACCGCCACCAAAGCCCACGCCTACCCAAAGGGTGGAGTAAGGGGCTTCATAGAAACTTGGGGTGCTCCATGAAGAAACCCCTAGCCCTCTTTGCCTAACTGCAGTCCACCCCCCTCAAGGCAGGATGTTACTGAATTTCTCTATGGGAAACCAATCACAGAACAAAAGGCTGGGTCCTGGCACTGGCACTTCCGCAGACACTGGGTCTCTGCCTGGTCACCACTCAGAGGCCGCCTGCCTTGGAAATTAAAAATGCAAGAGCAGAAATTGTAAAGTGTGTGAGTAGGGACATAAGATGAGGGAGAAAAAATCTCCCAGGAAGTAAAACACAAAAGCAGAGATGGAAAAGAGGAAAAAAGCCAAGATCACTGGGCCACAAAAAGGCAATGAATACAGAAAGTCCAACTTCCAACTACAGTAAACTCAGACCAAAAAAAACCCCGAAAAGCAGAAAGCAGGGAAAAGCTGCTGAAGAAGTCGCACAAAAATATTTCCTAGACGAGCATTAGGCTGACAGTTAGACAGGGGTATTGTGCAGTAGGGTGACCGTACACAGTAGTACAGCGTGTTTCAAAAAGTGAGAGCAAAGAATTTCAAACGTTTTCACCATAAAGAAATGATAACTGAGATTATGTTTACCATGATTTAAACATTACATAATATATGCATTTATTCCCATAAATACATATAATTTTAATTTTGTATCAATTTTAGTTTTTTAATTTAAAAAAAATAAGGAGCCAAAGGTATAGCTTGATGGTAGAGCACTTGCCCAGCATGCATGGGGCCCTGGGTTTGATCCCCGGCACGCGCGCGCACACACACACACACACACACACACACACACACACACACACACAGACTGCTCCCTAAGATTGAAAGCCATGAGCTCTGTGCAGAAAGAGCTGACCAAGTAAGTGCCCAGCACAGGACCTTGGTAACACTCAGCAGGCGGAGCTGGGAGGTGCCTGCAGCCGCTGTGATTCCCATCCTTGAAAATCTTTCCAGAATTCAGGTTGGAAGGTGCCACCTGCAGCGGGCTTGCAGGTCACACACGGGTGCCAGACTGACCCTTGAGCAGCCCTCACCTTGAGTGGTGGTGATCACACTTGGCTGCTCATTCAAATCACTGGGGGAGCTTTAACTATGCACGACAGACCCACTCACCACCAGAGGTTGTGGCACCTCAACCTCAAAATTGTGGCATACAATTTTGGATTCATCTTGGACCTCAGGTTTGGTTTGGTTTGGTTTGGTTTGGTGGTGCTGAGGGTTGAACCCAGGACGTCACTCGTGCTAGGCAAGGATTCTGCACATGTACTGCACCTCTACCTCACACACTGGGATTTCCAAAGTTGCTTGGATGGCCAGTATTCTGGGAGAGTTAAGGGCCTTTCTGCTCTTCTGCATGGGTGCCAGGAGACATGAGCAGAATGTTTAGGGTAGAACCTCTTCATTAGCTAAAAATTGGAAACAATCTAAATACCACCCACAGGAGAACAGATAGCTGTGAAATATGCAGCACATTACGCAGCAGTGAAGAGTCCACACTCAGATGAATCTCACAAACACAGTAAGCAGAGAAGCAGATGGCTGAGAAACAAATGCATTATGACACTGATAGAGATTTTTAAACATGCAGAAATCTTATTAAAATGTAATTAGTGGAAGAATGCAGGGTGTGGTCAGAAGATACAATCAATGTTTCAGTTTTTAAATTTTCATTACAGAAAATGATACATTGCTGCTAATCCTCGCAGAATAGTGCACCTGCCGCAGGCACACTTACCAACCATTCCTGCCACTCTCTGAAGCGGGTCCGGAGGGCCTGTCTCCTTAGTGTCTTTAGTTGCGTTTTCATGGTCACTGTTGCCTTGGGGAAGAGCCAGAACTCACTCAGTGCCAGACCCAGTGACTAAGGTGGATGAGGACACGCCACCGTGTTTTGATTTAAAATAAATTGCAATAAACATTCGGCCAATGAGACGCGATCAAAATGAATGTTTAAATAAATTTTATTGCAGTAAAAGATGCATCACCATTAATATGCCTCAAAATACTCCCTTCACTTAAAAAGCTGCTATGCCTTTGCTCTTGCCATGTGTTTTTAAATAAGTTTTTAAATTTAAACATTGACTTTTTTCCAATTTTTTTATTTAAAGAAAGAAAATTAAAGAAAAAACAAAATAGAAAAAAGTAGAATAATACAGAATTCAAAAAAATTAACATAAAAATTACTACTTGATACGTTACATATCACTAACAATAGTTATTAAACTTACAAAATCATTTATTATATTTGATAGTATAAACAAAAATTTTTATAGGCAAAGAGATAATATAGAAGCCATTGTTCATTTTCCTTTAGCTGGTTCTAAATACCCTGTAATACTCTCATCCTCTTGAAAGGTTTCACACTGTCTTGATATGTTTGATGTCATAGTATACAAAGTTATACTCAAATATTTAAAGGAAAAAAGACACTATGGTAATTACTATTAAGTCTGGTTATCTTGTGGTGAAACACTACCTTGCTTAAATTGTCCTGTTCTGGGGGCTGGGGATTTAGCTCAGCGGCATAAGCGCCTGCCTTACAAGTGTGTGGTCGTGAGTTCAATCCCTGGTACCGAAAAAGAAAAAAAAAGTTGTTCTGTTCTGACCTGTATTGTTATGTCATTATGTCCTCTTTTATATCAATCTCCCCCTTTTTAAAAATTTATTTTTTATTATTATTTTTTAATTAAGGGGAAAAATCTAAAAAATAGCAGGATATATTATAGTAACTTTTTTGATTTCCTATTAACTCAATTTGAAGCCCTGTATTGCTCTCACCATCTTGTTTGACCGATTTTACTCTATTCTGTTCTGTTTGATGGTATCAAGTTTGAGGGTATAGGCAACTACTTTGAAGGCAATAAGATTCACTATGATGCCCATTCTGGTTTGACTATTATCTTCTTTTGAAGTTCAGTAATGTCTCCAGTGTTTAGGTTTTATTGGTTTTGTTCAATTTTATTATACCTAATGATATAGGCAATTCTTTTTAAGGTAGCAAGAGGCATTATGGTAACCATTGTTGATTACCTTGTATTCTGTTTTGACATCATGTACTATGTCCATCCTTTTGATTTGACTGACTGCTTTGTTTTGTCACATTTGGTTTTATTCTCTTCCAAAAAAAAGTAATAAGAACTGTGGGAGTAATAAAAATCCAAAATGTGTAAATGTTATTGTAAAAAAGAGAGGAAAAGAAAGTGCTCTAAAGGACACAACTGCAAGTGTGTTTAGGTGTGTAAGATAGATGACTGTATTACTAAGTTTTTGTTGGATCATTGAACACATCTGTTTGCAGTCTCACTGTTTGAATGTCCACTTTGTATGCTTTAATTTTATAACTTGAACAAATGTTTCTAAGATGACAATATGTAATCTGTGATTTCTGTTTTTTTTTTTTAATTCTGTATTACTTGTACCCTTTTACTGTTTTGTTTTGGTTTTTCTTCTTTAAATAAAAATTTTTTAAAAACTTACAAAATCAAAGCATAAAAAGTGGCTAGACACTCAAACATTAATAGTGCAAGCTCTTCTGTTCAATGATAACAGAAATTTAGTAATACGGTCATCTATCTTACACCCTATCCATACATACCGTTATATCCTTTAGAGCCCTTTCCTTCCCTTTCACTTTTACAATATCTATTATACTTTTTGTATCCCATTATTCTGTCGGTTCTTATTTTTTACACTAGAGAGACAATGTGATATTTACTCATGTGAGTCTTGTTTATTTCACTTATGAGGATATTCTCAAGTTGCCTCCATTTACTTATAAAGACCTCAAGATCACCCTTTTTATAGCTGAGTAATGTTCCATTGTATAAAATACCACATCTTTTTCACCCACTCTGCGGTTGATGGGCATTTTGGTTGTTCCAAGATTTAGCTATCACAAACTGTGCTGCTATGAACATGGTACACATGTATCACTGTGACATGACCTTTTCAATTTTTCTGGGAAAATAC